GATTGTTTTTACCAATAGTGTTTTGTAGATTGATCCTCACTACAAACAAGAGTACTCCTGCTACAAACGATTTCATGCTAGTCAATGAGCGGACTGACAACGTGTGTTAAAGGTGGTAAGGTACACACCATGGCAGCTGCCTTGAACGGAATCTTTGATTATACCAGTGAACGTAGAAATGCATGACTTATCTTGAATAACGTCTCTTTGAATCATTGTTTTGTTGAAGTTTCGGATGCTGCACAATGACATGCGCGTACGTGGAAGCATTCACATTGTAGAAGATCATGGGATGATTATTTCCCTACTTCATTCAGTCCTTTGTGTGGTAAATTGAGTAGTAGTACCGTACTGGCAATATATGTTGCCGCAGTGAGGCCATGACGCGTTACATTGGCACATGTTTGCCGCACGCAGGGCGTTACATGCAAAGTCGCACAGGAGCCGTTACACAGGTTTCTATAATAGACTATATTGCCGCAGTCCTTTTTTCGCTATTGCCGCATCACTTTTTTGCTATTGCCGCATCATTTTGGCGGTGCCGACGAACACGCTTTCTCGTTTGCTCACGAACTTTCTTCTGCTTCACTAAAACTTTCTTTGCACGATCAGCAGCAATCCTGTTTTTCGTCTCCTTTCTCTCCTCATCCTTTCCTTTTTCACTTTCCTTGGGCGTGATTTTCTTCACGCCGAAGGCGCCGAATAGAGACTTCTGCATTGTCACAAGGAAACTGGTAAACACATCGCTCTTCTTCGCAAAACGACCTCGGGAAAGAAGAAACCATTGAGATCGCCAACCACTGAATGATGCGCCTTCGAGTGTCAGGACTTCCTGCTGCGTCCAGTTTTGAACTTTTCACCACGCGGTACACGTGCTTTAACTTTCACAGTTTTCAGCCTTTTTTTTGCAGTGCAAACTGCAATGAAAAGATCGCCGCACCCCGCCGGACGCGCGTTACGAAGTCAACGAAAATTTGTCGCACTAGTCTGGTCGCGCGTTACGCCGCTCCCCCCTGCGTTACGCGTTACGCGGCAACATATATTGCCAGTACGGTAGTAGACGTAGTATATTTTAGGAATTTCCGCAAACGCAAACAGTAAATGTGGCGGTATCATGTAGAATATAATCATTTTAAAACTACAGCTACGGTGCATCATATTTATGTGAACAAAGGCTGAATGCAGATATGTAAACAGTGTCATGGACGAGGATATGCATCGGCACCACCGCATACATCCAGGCAAGACGATGTAGCGCAATATCTGTGTTGAACGGTTTTTGATCCCTTCATCATGGAGAACAGTATCCATTCTCAGGGCCGTAGCAGGCGGTCCGGCAGGTCCGGCAGCTGCCGGACCAATATTCGGCCAAAAAAAAAAAAAAAAAAAAAAAAAAAAAAAAAAAAAAAAAAGGAGCTCACACATGTAAGCAGCTCAGGATGTCCACCTATGATGTATGCAATAAGTAGAGCCGTAGTGAGGTATATAAGCAAGTAAGTAGAGGTAGTAGATTCTACATGGTAATAGAGAGGTTCCGCACTACGTAAAGTTGAGCAACTTTACGTTAGTGGGCGGGAAAAACCCGTGAATTCGCGAGTTTGCACTCCACTTACGGAAAGTTGTCTACGGAGAGTACGTAGATAGGGCTCTGATAACGTAGCTGGTCCGTAAGTGGATTGGGTACAAATTTATGACTCTCTCCCCAGGTCGATCTGGTCGTACACTGCTGCATTCGGAGTTGCCAAGGGCAGCTACGTGATTTGAAAACTCCGTATGGCGGAACCCAGATGCGCATGCAGTTTACGTAAGACTTTCCGTAGATCGACTACGTTTTTTACTAACGTAATTACGTTATGCGGAACCTCTCTAATACTAATAGCAAGAGGACACTACAACATCGAGTGATCACTTTGAAGTTTGAACTCTAGTTGTACTCAAGTACATGTCATGTACATGTTGTTGCGAATACCATGTACATAGATCTATGTGGGTGTTGTTCTCTACTTTATGACCTCCTGCCATTCCTTCATTGCGATGTCCTTTCTCCTCCTCCAAGGGACCAAAGGTCCATTTTTGGTTCTTTTATCACATGCGTTCAGATACTGTTGCTATGCCTTCATAGGCTTCAACAAGTTCTGTTTGGACGGACACAACATGCTGATGCCCTTTTTCCTGACTCATGCAGAACATCCTTCTTCCTTTTCTCGCCCTATGTCACTCTGCATGGTCACAATTACATACAGTCATGTACATACCGGTACACGTACAATCATGTACATTTTGTACCTGTACAATGTACATGTACCGGCATATGTAGGAGTGTGGGCTCGGGGGGGGGGAAGCATCGAGGTCGGATCTTGCCGGACCAACCAATATGGGGCTGCTACGGGCCTGATTCTTCATCCGGTTTGCGATCCTCTGCTCTGTGCTGCCAACGACGTCCACTTGTTGCTCACATGTGTAGTGCTGCTGAGCGGGTTGCCACATTCGGACATGCATCGGCGAGTACCGTAAAAGCCCGTAATAAGGCCCTGGGCGGAAGCGTTAGCGACGGTCCAGAACATGGGCGCTAATGATTGGGTTGTCCCATTCGGACATGCACCAGCAAGTATAGTACAGGGTTGGGGTGACCCGTTGCACTAGAAGCATCCAGTGCTGTAACCTTTGCGATGTTTGCAGCTATGCCGAGCAGTTATCTCCTGGGTTCCGACTGCTGCTCCGTGGAGATGATAGTAGGGCACTAGACAGCGGCTTTGTAAATTGCCATTCTGGAATGCTACCTCAGAGCAGCCGATGATGGTGACGTTCTTGCACAGCATGTTGTTGGTACCACAATCACAGCAAGTTCACTGGTGATGATTAACTTCTGGCCGTGTGTTGCATGTTTCTGAGATTCGTAGATAATGACGCGCGCGTGCATGAGTGTGTGTGTTTATATGTATGTATGCGTGTGAGCATCTGCATGTGCGCATCCACGTGTGTGTGTGCGCGCGTGTGTCGTGCACATGTACACGTGTATGCGCGTGTGTGTGTGTGAGCATTTGCAAGTGCGCATCCACCTGTGTGTGCGCGCGCGTGTGTCGTGCACATGTACATGTGTATGCGTGTATGTGTGTGTGAGCATTTGCATGTGCGCATCCACCTGTGTGTATGTGCGTGCAAGCGCGCACGCGTGTGTGTGCGTGCCCATGTACACGTGTGTGTGTGTGAGCATTGGCATGTGCGCATCCACCTGTGTGCATGTGCGCACGCGTGTGTGATGAATGCGCGCATGTTCGCACACATGTATATGTGTGTGTGTGCGAACAGAGAGTCACATGTGTGTGTGTGTGTGTGTGTGTGTGTGTGTATTTCATCTCGTACGAAGGCTGCACCTTTCCACGGACAAGGTGTACTCACATGTGTGCGTGTGTGTGCACTCATGCACACTCGCACACATGTGAGTACACGCTTGCAAGCGTGTGTGGGCGTGCGCGCGTGTACACAAGCTCGCACACATGCACGTGCGCGCATGTATGTTCTATCTTGTTATGTTGCCTATCCCATGCTCTCCTTTGGTGCTGCCATGTAGACGTCTGTCGTAGTTCCTGTCAGAAGTGCATGTGGAACTGGCAGTGATTGTCATTCTACCTTTGTTTCAAACAACGTCTCGTTTTCGAGTTACATGATCTCTCACAGGATCCACAAAGTATTTTGTGCAAAAGCAGCTAGGCTCACCTGAACCAGTGAAGAACGAGTACCGGAACAAACAAGCTGGCAAACTGCAACGGAGTTGACACCACCAGCAGATAAATAGGCCAGGCAGAGTACCGACATGGGTGATGATGATCTTGCACGTCCGGTGACTGGTCACTGGTGCATACGGCTGTGGCACTGGCAGTCAGGACTCAGGGACGTGGAGGCCGACTTGTCAGCAAGCAACATCTCGCCTACTCTGCCGGAATCTTCGCTCGACTCGACCTCAGTCAGACCTGGAAATATACTTTTGAAACTTTGCTTGCACGCGTTGCAGAATTGCCGGAGTAGGCACGAGTATTATTGTGCACTATTGCTGGTACACACTCTATGTTGCGCTTTTGTCCAGAAGCGCCATGCTTCGTGACTAGTGGACCTGACGATGGCAATACTATTCTCACTTTCAAAGCCAAAATCGTAATGAAAATGTATGTCACGCTTTGAGAAAGTAAGCTTGCAGCGTCGTCATCTTCTGGACAGGCGCATAGTCACTGATTTGGAATTTTGAGCGTGCGCACCTACTTCTCAAACCGAGAAGTCGGCTGAGAACGAAAAACATTTGCGCCTAAATGCTTGACAATTGTGAATTTGATCGTCGAACAAAATGCGTCCTCGCGATGTCCGTGCACAGCTTTGGGAGTTTGGGATGGCCAAGAACTCGAAAGCCCTTCTCTGATAGACCCATAACCCATTGCAGAAGAGATCTTGTACTCCATCTCGCCCGACCTGGAGCGGCACTTTTTTGAAGGTCGGCTCCCTGACTAGTGGCACAAACACTGCATGGTCGACTTATAAGCTTACCGCACGCACACGCTCGCAGAATTTGCAGAACATCGCGGGTTTGAGCTACAAACCCGAAATAATAATTTTTGTTGCATCCTTGGAATCGGGATTTCCTGGAAGGACAGCTTGTTGCCATGTTGGCCGCACGAGTGATCTATTGTCATGTGATCTCTGACGGACCGCAGTCTAACCGTGCGCGTGATCTGGTGATGGTGATCGACATAATGTTTTTGTTTTGCTCATACATCATGATCAGATGACTTATTAGTATGCATTGTCGACGCGTCGCCGACTCTGATCCCGGGCCGGATCGCTTGATTGATGATCATGTGCATGTTCGGACTAGTAGTGTAGTAAAGACTGTATGTAACAATACTAACTTTCGTCACTGAGTCTGTCAAACTCAAAGCAACACAGTCTTATCTTGTCATACAGCCGTAGCTACCCTGCTGAAGCTCTGGGCGTCAAGCGCCTCAAGGATTACTCCGATCAGGTCGAGCACTCACCACTGGTCACGCTGTGCTCGAATCGGATTGGCCTGCGCCAAATACGATAGCGATGGGGACATCGCGGTCACTCTAATCGTCCGGCGCAGTGCCATAAATTCCAGAAGAACGGCCTCTCCACAGCTGGTCTGAGCGTTGCCATCGTCGTTGCGGAGGTCGATACTCTACTCGTTATTATCCGTCGCGAACGGGCAGCAATCGAAAGACCAGCGACGTGTCTGGCGGAAAACAGCCATGGTGGAGATCAAATACACGAAGGTGAGTGAATGGAACTGACGGAGAGAATGTCCCACGTACTACTGTCGTGGACATGGAAATCCAGTCGATTGACCGGGGCCGGCGCCCTCAGCGCGTACAGAACGTAGCAGAGTCATAATGCGAACCAGCGAGCTGCAGTGCTTATGTGTGTACTGCCCACGGCTGCATGGCCAACGCCCTGGGGCCGCTAGACGTGCGGCCGGATTTCCATGTCCTCAACAGCAGTACAGTCAGTGCTGTTCAATGAAATCCAACCCAGCAAATGAATACCACGGCGCTGTGCAGTCCTAGAGGCTAGACCTTCGAACACTATAATGGGCGCTTTCAATTACACGTTTACACAATTTTGGAACTGGTTTTTTAAATTCTGGAATGACCAGAATGAGCGGATTCCGGCCTTGTAAACGAACGACTGGAATTCACAACGCATTTTATTCATGTCATGTCACGAACAAAATTGATGGATCGTAAAAAGAGATCACGTACACCCTCGCGCGCACGTGGACCCAGCATCGCGCACACGCCGGCCAGGGAGGCTCTTCGCGCGCTTGAGTCATGACCAGACCGGTAACACACCGACTGTGCAATTCTGGCGCCAGAATTAGAGAAATTCCGCCCTCTCTTCAGAATTGACGGATTCGACGGAATTGGATAAAATCAATTCTAACGACGGAATTTGTCACTTTTGGTGTAATCGAACTGTGCATCAACAATAACTAATTCTAGAATTGACCGAAATGCGTGTAATCGAAAGCGCCCAATGTGAACTGGCGCAGGGCGAGAGTTTGCAGGACTTCGACCATATGACTGTGAGAGGTCAAGCACTACAGTCCATTTCCAAACTATAGACGCGTAGGGTTTTTGAAATATTTCAAATTTGGCTGGAGCTTTTTGAGAATAGTTTTCGGAATATTGCTCAGGTCCGCTCCACAATTACTCTCATATAGTTTCTAAACGATTGGATAACAGACGCCCAATTTGGAAAAATGTATGCACAAAGTGATCACAGATTTTGTGTCGTATAGATGCTGGCATAACGGTTTTTGCCTAGGTACGCGTCTATAGTTTTGAAATGAACTGTAGTACTGTGACATGCATGTGCTTTGAACCCCTGTTTGCTTTCGCTGTGTAAATCCCCCCCCCCCAGGCTGCAACAGATGCCGCATGATTGGGTTGATCTATGTTTGACGGATTTATGAAAGTTTGTACATTGGTCTATGCCCTGAGAAGTCTCATTACTCATTACTCATTTGGCGTACAGTGCATGACGTCAAGCGCCGAAAGGGTTAGGAAAAATCTTGGGATGATGATCCAAACGAACGGCGGCGAGACAATAATTTGATAACCACAATCAATAAAACAAACTGAATCGACATTGTCTCCACCGTTTTACATTGCATGAATAAAGTACCGGTATACACAAATGTCGTTTCAGCTTGTCTTATTGATTGCGGGTATCAAGTTAGTGATGATTCAATTGAATATTAGCGGTGTTCTGCTCTATGTTACGGGAACACGACGGCGAAGAATCCCGGGACCTCTCTTTGCGTTCCTGTGACGTAAAAGAAATCCTGTTCTGCTCTATGTTACGGGAACACGACGGCGAAGAATCCCGGGACCTCTCTTTGCGTTCCTGTGACGTAAAAGAAATCCTGTTCTGCTCTATGTTCGCGTTGATAAGTCACCTGGAATGTGCACTGAGAGTTTCCCGCTCCAAATTTGGCAGCTTTTTCTCCGTCTCCTTAATGTCGCCTCTCCCCATCCACAAACAGGCCCCTTCCCCTCCTCAATCTTTCCTTATTCACTCCTCCTCGACCTCAACCCCCTCTCCCTTCCTCACGACTCTCCTCACCCCCGCCCCCCCCCCCCCCTCCCTCAAAACCTCTCCTCTCTTCACCCCTCCTCAACTCCTCTCCTCGCCTAATCCTCTTCACGACCTCTCAACACCCCCTTTCCACTTCTCACCCCCCCCCCCCCCCGCTCTTTAACCCGTCACCCTACCCCTCCTTGGCAAACTCCTCCGCAAACGCGCTCTTTCCCTCCCCAACATTGCCCTGTCGCTTGCAGGCATGTTTCTGATAGACCTGGCTTATGCCTAACAACCAACGTGGACTTGTAGTTTACATGGCATGTGTGTACGCCGTGTGTGTACGTGTGTGTGTACGTGTGTGTGTGTGTGTGTACGTGTGTGTGTGTGTGTGTGTGTATGTGTGTGTGTGTGTGTGTGCAGAGTTTTGGGAATTTCAGGGGGTGTCGGCCGTTGGGCCGTTCAATAGCCAATCGAGTCATCTTTCCAAGATTCCTTTTGATTCTCTCTCGCCTCTCCCGGGGAGACCCATGTGACCAGTTTTGGCAGTGAGCAACAAGTACAAGTGTCTGTCTGTGCATACTCAATCTGTGGACAGAACTGTTTTGTCCTTTGTGGACTCATCAGCGCAGCACAGAGGAAATGAGGCTGAGCCTGATAGCAATGAAAAATAAAAAAGTTTCCAAAGCCATATTTAAACCAGGCCCGATAATACCTTGCCAGAGTGCTCAAACTGACACAAGTCACTATATGCACCTATTATGTATTATTTTGTGTATACCCAATGCTGTAGACAGCAAGTATCTGTGTATATGTGTTTGTGTGTACGTGTATATGTGTGTGTGTGTGTGTGTGTGTGTGTGTGTGTGTGTGTGTGTGTGTGTGTGTGTGTGTGTGTGTGTGTGTGTGTGTGTGTGTGTGTGTGTGTGTGTGTCTAGATCTTTATCAACAATGAGTGGCGTGACTCGGCCAGTGGGAAGACCTTTCCCAACATCAACCCGTGCACAGGAGATCTGCTGTGTGACGTGGCTGAGGGAGATAAGGTTAGTCCACTGATGCCCTACCTCCCCCCCCCCCCCCCCCCTTTCCAGTTAAGCAACACCGAAGGCATGTGCATGTAAAACGCAGCACAATCAGACCTCGCTGTACTGCACACATCCATTTCCACAAAAAAATATCCGGATAGGCGAGGGAACCGGATAATCGAAAACACGTTCTGTATGTATGCATGACATATGATGTTAATCGGTAACCAACGATTTTCTTCCGCACGGCGAGGGATCCGGATAAAAAGAGGATCGGATAATCGACGTCTGAGTGTATGTCATCTTGTCACGTTTCCGATACTGGTCATTATTATTTTACTGTATGTGCCGTCGTCAGCCTTGTGAATGAAGACCCTAGATCGGGCATGAGAAAAGTATAAGCTTGCGGTAACGTCGAGGCCGAAGGTCGGCGTTGTTGGCTTGCCTCGCCAGCACAGGTTCCTTCATGAAGCACCTACGCTTCCCATTGTTGTGTGGTGTCCTGCTACTTCTCTTCCCTCTTCTTACTACGAGGTTGTGTCTTCCCTTTTAAAAAATCATATTCGCGAGGATTCACTGGTTTGAGGGAAAGACACAAACGGGAAATGTCTGAAGAAAAAATTGACTGTCACCACCTCATACTCGCGAGCAGTCGTATTTCGTGGGGTTGAAGCATGTACAAGTAGTCACTGTGTCTGAGATCGTGTTGTAATTAACGATCAGCCATGTCATGAAATTCAAACATCTACCCCGTTTGTTGTTGTTGTTGCTGTGTTTATTTTAATTCGCAAACCAAACGGGCAGATCTGCCCAGTGAAAAGGTGGCGAATGCAGATAGAAAAGCAGTAATTAATGAAATTGGGGAGGGATGTAATACGGATAGAGGTGGAGGTTTGCCACTGTTAAACTTGACCATCGTCGAAGTATAAACCACATCGACTCTTTGGTTTACTGATGTGTAAACTGTGACTTATGCTCTGGAAGATATGATATTCACAAGCTTGACTGTACGGTGTATTGGCTACTCAGTCTGTGCACAGCGTGCTGTCCCGTACTTTGTGGACTCATCAGTGCAGCACAGAGAAAATGAGGCCGAACCTGATAGCAATGAAACAAAGAATCAGGTTTCCAAAGCCAGGTTTAAACCAGGCTCGAACGTCAAATTGGCTAGGCACTATATACAGTGTAGCGGGAAATTTTCGAACGGAATTTATTTTCGTACGATTTCGTACACGGCCTCTTTTGTACTAAAATTAATTCCGTACTAAAATTTGTTCATGTGAAATTATGTACACTATACATGGGTACTGCTTGCGAACACATGTATTTAGCATGCAGCACTGTACGAAAATAAAGTCCGTACGAAAGGTCGAAATTTGGCTTTGTCCAAAAATATTTCCATCCGAAAATTTCCTGTTTTCATTTTTCATTTTTTTCTCACATACGCACACGGATTATATAAACGCATACGCACACTCCTGTACTTCAGGCTGATGTTGACATTGCAGTGAAGGCAGCTCGAGAAGCATTCAAGCTTGATAGCCCGTGGAGATGCATGGACGCTTCTGACCGAGGGCGACTTCTCTACAAACTGGCTGAGTTGATCGAGCGAGATAGTGACTACCTTGCGGTGAGTTTGATTTTGAGTTTACATCTGTGTGTGTATGTGGGTGTGGGTGTGTGTGTAAGTGTGGGTGTATGTGTATGTGTGTGTACACATGTGTGTGTGTATGTGTGTGTATGTGTGTGTGTATGTGTGGGTGTACACGTGTGTGTGGAGGGGTGCGTGTACATGTATGTTCCTGCGTGCACGTATGTTTGCGGGTGTGTTTTTGCATGCGCACGTGTGTGTGTGTATGTGTGTGTGTTTCTATGTGGGTGTGGG